TTTCATCAATCTTTTATGGTTTTCTGTATACAGTTATTTTATCTCTTTGGTTAAAATTATTTCTTATTATTTTATTTTTGATGCCTTTTTAAATGGGATTGTTTTCTTGATTTTTTAGATACATTTTTGTTACTGTATGGAAACACTACTGATATTTATATGTTGATTTTGTGTCCTGCAACTTTGCTGAATTTATTATTTAGTTCTAACAGGTTTTCTTGTGAGTCTCTAGGATTTTTTATATAAAAACATGTTATCCATAGATATAGTTTTATTTCCTCATTTTTATTTGGATGCCTTTTATTTCTTCTTCTTGTCTAATTGTTCTGGTTAGGACTTACAGTACTATTTTGAGTAGAATTGGCAAGAGGGGTCATCCTTGCCTTGTTCTAGATCTTAGAAAAAAAGCTTCCAGTTTTCTACCACTGAGTATGATGTTGTCTGTGGGCCTTCCATATATGGCCTTTATTGTGTTAGGAAAATTCCTTTTATACTTAATTTTTTTGAGTTTTTTTTTTTTTTTATCCTGAAAGGATGTTAAATTTTTTCAAATGCTTGTTCTGCATGTGTTCAGATGATCATGTGATTTTTATCCTGCAGTCTGTTAATGTGTTTTATCACTTTGATTGATTTACATATGTTGAATCATTCTTGCATCTGAGTGACAAATCCCATTTGGTCCTGAATTTGGTTTGCTAATATTTTGCAAATTTACTTTGTTTGTATTTTGTTCAGGACTTCTGTTCCCATGTTCATCAGAGATACTGGCCTATAGTTTTCCTTTCTTGTGATGCCTTTGCCTGGCATTGCTATCAGGGTGAGTCTGGCTTCATAAAAGTCATTTAGAAGTGAGCTTTCTCATGTTTTGAGCGTTTAGGAAGGATTGGTATTAATTCTTCATTAAACTTTTGGTAGAATTCACCTGTGAAGCCATCTAGCTGAAGGCTTTTCTTTGTTAGCAGGGTTTTTGGTTACTGGTTTAATCCTTATTTGTTATTAGTCTGCTCAAGCTTTCTATGTGACTCAGTCATGGAGGATTATATGTTTCTAGAAATAGGTCTGTTTCTTCTGGTTGTTGAATTTGTTGGTGTGTAATTGTTGATAATAGTCCCTTATGATCTTTTTTATTTCTGTGGTAATGGTTGTAATATCTCCTCTTCTAGTTCTGATTTTATTTAATTTTCTCTCTTTTTTTCTTAATCGTTTTAACTAAGGATTTATCAATTTTGTTTGTGTTTTCAAAAACCAGCTTTTAATTTTATCAATCTTGTCTATTGTTTTTCTACCCTTGATTTCATTTCTTTTTGCTCTAATCTTTATTATTTTCTTCCATTTGCTAATTTTGGGCTTAGCTTGGTCTTCTTTTACTAGTTCCTTTACTTATACTGTTAGGTTGTTCATTTCAGATCTTTTTGTTTTCTTACTGTAGATGTTTATATCTATAAAATTCCTTTTTAGAACTGCTCTTTTTTTGCCTTCTATGTTTTAGCACATTGTTTTTGTTTTTGTTGGTCTCGATGTATTTTCTTATTTCCCTTTAGATTTCTTCCTTGACTTAATGACTATTCAAGGGTGTATTGTTAAATTTCCATGTATTTGTGAATTTTTCCGTTTTACTTTTGTTGTTGATTTTTAGTTTGCTAACGTTGTGGTTTGGGAAAGATACTTGAAATGATTTCAGTCTTCTTAAATTTGTTTTGTCACCTAGCAAGTGACATATCTTCAAGAAGAGAAACTAGTGGCCGGGCAACACTTATCACGCACATGTACCTCATTTCCTGGGTGGGGTGCTCAGAGACTGTTTGTGGGGGTGTTGATGCAACAGGAAAACATAAAGTTTTAAAATGTATAATACACAGGTGTCTCCCAGGAAATGGTGCACGGTGGCTAAACCTTGATCTATTTTATATATCTGAAATATTTTAATTCTGCTATCAAATTTGATTGATAAATGTCTGGGTATAGAACACTATGTTAGACATCATTTCCCCTCAAATTGTTTTCTAGATTTCTGAAATATTTTAAAATTTGGATGCCTTTTTTTTTTAATGGTATTTCTTTGTATGGAGCTTCTTTCTTTCACTCTGGGTATATCACCATACCTCTTTATTACCAACTTTCTGAGAAAGTATGATGGTATGTCTTGATGTGAGCTCTTTTAATCTATCATGTGCATTTTTTCAAACCTGGACTCTCATGTTCTTTAATTCTGGAGAACTGATTGAAAGCATGAATAGAAGCTGTCTTGAAATTACTTTCTCTAACTTGAAAAAAATTCCTATTCACATTTTAAATTAAAGTTTAAAAATTATGTTCATCAAAAATATTTCTGACTACCCTTCTCATCTCCAAAAGAAAACAGCAAAACACCACCACCAACAACCCAGGGCTATGGTTCTACCATGTGTACATGTCTATTGATCCTTTTTATAGTGACGATTTTTACTGTTTATTGCTCTGCCCAGGCAATGAGAAATTTGGTCAGGACTGTATTTTAAAGAGAAATGATTTCAAAAAAGTTCTTCCTGACACACGTATTTACCTTTCTTAAATAAATTCATTGTTTTTGAGAAGAATAAAATGCCTGTTGTAAGATAGTAAGAACTACAAAAAGCAAAACAAAAAAATCCACAGTGTACTCCATTTCTTCGCAAAGGGGGTAAGTAATACTAGTGCTGTGGGCAGCTGAGCTGGACTGTGTGCGGAACAACTGCTGGGTTCCTGCTGCTGGATTTAAAAGGGCAGAGGCTTACCGGATTCTATTTGCATTACTATAAGTGTTCTAGAGACTGAAATCTGATTTCTTGAGGCAAATGTCTCTCTGGTGACCCTAGCAGGAAGCCAGGCTTTTCCATCAGAATGAATAGGTACCTAAAGGATAAAAATAGTTATTTCCACTCTTAGTGAAGGCAAAACTAGTGAAATTTAAGGAGACTAAAGACAGATCATCTGGAGAGATGAGCAGAAAAATGAGCAAACATACTAATTCCCTGTGTCAGGAAGAATTAGATGTTTAAATAAAGCATACATGTAAATAGCATATTAATTGTGTTAGAACTCTATTTTGTATAATATGCTTAATATGTAGCTGTATTCTCTTAAGCAACACATGTAATATTAATTTTAAATAAATCTCCCTATTAGATTTATATATATATACATATATATGTGTGTGTGTGTGTGTATATATATATATATTTTTTTTGAGATAGAGTTCAAGCTGGAGTACAACGGCACCATCTTGGCTCACTGCAACCTCCGCTTCCCGGGTTCAAGCGATTCTTCTGCCTCAACCTCCCGAGTAGCCGCCATCACACCTGGCTAATTTTTTGTATTTTTAGTAGAAACTGGGTTTCAGCATATTAGCAGGCTGGTCTCGAACTCCTGACCTCAGGTGATCCACCCGCCTCAGCCTCCCAAAGTGCTGGGATTACAGGTGTGAGCCACTGCGCCCGTCAGATTCATATTGTTTATTTACCAAACATAGAAAGGCAATGTGCCTAATTCCAGATGATGTCTATCTACAAAGTAATCACTAAACTAGTATCCAGACTGGGTCTGACAAAACTAGAGTCAGTATATTTGTTCTCCTATGCTCCCCTGACCCCCAGCTTTACTGAGGTATAATTAACAAATAAATAGTGTATATATTAAAGGTAGACAGCATGTTGTTTTCATATACATATGTATTGTAAAATAATTATCATTATCAAGTTAATTAGCATATATTTCACCTCACATAGCATTTTTGTTTTATTTTGGAGAGAACATTTATGGCCTACTCTCTTAGCTAATTTTGAGTATACAATAGCAGACTATTAACTATAGTCACCGCGCTGGACATTAGATATCCAGAACTTATTTGTCCAGCATAACTGAAACCTCATTCCCTTTGACCAGCATCTTCCTGTTTCCCCCACCTCCCAGTTCCTGGAAACAGCCATCCTACACTCTGTTTCCGTGAGTTCCACTTTTTAAATTACACATACAAATGAGATCATGCAGTATTGTCTTTCTGTGCTTGACTTATTTCACTTTACATAATGTCCTCCAGGTTCATCTATGTTGTCATGAAGGAAAGGATTTTCTTCCTTCTTAAGGCTGAATAATATTCCATTATATTGAAAGAGTTAAGAATATGCTACCCAAAAATATGCTTCTCTGGTTTATTGACTATTTTGAATTAAAGAAACTTAAAAAATAGCAGTTGCAAAAAGATTACTCTAACCTTCATTGTTTTTTAAAAGTAGGAGATAAAATTCTCATATGAAGAGTGTTTTCCTCTAACTAAAGGAATAACATTCTTATAATTAAGAAAGGGAAGTTGAAACTGTTTGTGTGAAAAATGCCATTGGATTTGTTTTAATTATTTATTTATTTTTCCTTTCAACTTTTTATTTTAGGTTCAGGGGTACATGTGCAGATTTGTTACATGGGTAAATTGTATGTCACGGGGATTTGGTGTACATATTATTTCATCACCCAGGTAATGAGCAGCATAGTACCCTATAGGTAGTTTTTAGATCCCCTCTCTCCTCACACTCTCTACCTTCAATAGACCACAGTGTTTACTGTTCCCTTTTTAATGTCCATGTCTACTTAATGTTTAGCTCCTACTTATAAGTGAGAACATGTGGTATTTGGTTTTCTGTTCCTGCATTAATTTTCTTAGGATAATGGCCTCCAACTCTATCCTTCTTGCTGCAAAGAATACGATTTCCTTCTATTTTTATGGCTGCATAGTATTCCATAGTTTATATATACTACATTTTCTTTATGCAGTCTCCTGTGATGGGCATCTAGGTTGAGTTTATGTCTTTGCTAGTGCTGTGATGAACATACATATGCATGTGTCTTTATGGCAGAATGATTTATATCCCTTTGGGTATATACCCAGTAATGGGATTACTGGGCCAATAAATTCAATAGTAACAAGCAACAGGGAAAGAACTGCCTATTCAATACCAGACTAAATCTCTAATATTTTTTATTGCCATTAGGAAGAGGAAGAAGAAAAGGAAGGAAGGAGAGGAAAAAGGAAGGACGGAAGAAAAGAAAAAAGAATGAGAGAGAGAGAACAAAAGCATCAAGGATAAGTGATGCTAAGAAGACGGGCTAGCCCTATGCAGAAGAATGAAATTGGACCCTTTCCTTTCACCATATACAAAAACTCACTCAAGATGGGTGAAAGACTTAAATGTAAAACCTAAAACTGAAAACCCTAGGAAACCTAGGAAATGTCATTTTGGATATAGGCTCTGGCAAAGATTTCATGATAAAGACTCCAAAAGCAATTGCAACATTAAAAAAAAAAATGACAAGGAGAACATAATTAAAGAGCTTCTGCAAAAGAAACAATCAACAGAGTAAACAGACAACTTGCAGAATGGGAAAATGTGTTTGCAAACTATGCATCTGATAAAGGTCTAATATCCAGCATCTATAAGGAACTTAACTCTGCAAGAAAAAACAAACCCCCACCAAAATTTTCTTAGAATAATCAAAAAATAGACAAAGAACATGAACAGACACCTCTCAAAAGAAGACATATATGCAGCCAACAAGCATATGAAAAAAATACTCAGCATCACTCATCATCTGAGAACTGCAAACCAAAACCACAATGATTTATCATCTCACAGCAGTCAGAATGGCTATTATAAAAAGTCAAAAAAATAACAGATACTGGTGAGGTTGTGAAGAAAAGGGAATGCTTATACACTGCCCATGGGAATGTAAATTAGTTCAATTGCTGTGGGAAGCAATTTGGAGATTTCTCAAAGAACTTAGAACTTCCACTAGAATTTTGATAAGGATTGCATTGAATTTGGTGTCTCTTTGGGTACCATGAACCCTTTAACAATAGTAATCCATGAGCATGTGGTATTTTTCCATATATTTGCTTCCATTCAAATTTTTGAACACTTTGAAGTTTACATAAATCTTTCTTTTCGTTCCTCTTTCTTTCTTTTTGTCTCTCTCTTACTTTGTTTGTTCTTGTTTCCTTCCTTCTTTCCTTCCTTCCTTCCTCTTTTTCTTTGTAGTGGCAATATAAACATATTCTAGCTTTAATCTGGTGATTTATATTTAGTGAATTTTTTAAAAATGAGAATAATGATTGAATTATAATTGGAACTAGACCTAAAGCAGAGAGAAACCTTTCCTCTTTTCTTTTCTTGTTTTTTTTTTTTTTTCTGTTCTCCACTGCTTCTTAATTGATTGGTTTGCTTTTCTAGTCATAAGGAAGCTGTTTATTATAAAATTTAATTGATATTGTCATTTCTAGAGATGGCTACAAGTAGCCAGAAGATGTTTTTAAAATTGAAAGCTAACTGCCAATTGAAAAAAAAAATCGCAACAAAACAGAATCTTCCTTCCAAGTTTGTCTTGGGGAGAGGATGCATAGGGAGTTGTGTGGGGGCTCTGTATTTCTACAGTGAAACTGGTAATCACTTAAGGGGTTAATGGGGGAGCCACAATGTGTCTGTGTGTTTCCTTGTGTTCCCACAGCCTGCATGACTCCTTATTTTCTTCTTTATTTTATTTATTTATTTATCTTGAGATGGAGTCTCTCTCTGTAGCTCAGGCTGGAGTGTAGTGGCAAGATCTTGGCTCACTGCAACCTCCACCTTCCCGGTTCAAGCGTTTCTCCTGCCTCAGCCTCCCAAGTAGCTGGGACTATGGGCACCCCCCACCACACCTGGCTAATTTTTGTATTTTTAACAGAGACTGGGTTTCACCATATTGGCCAGGCTGGTCTCGATCTCCTGACCTTGTGATCTGCCCACCTCAGCCTCCCAAAGTGTCGGGATTACAGGCATAAGCCACCGCCTGGCCTTTATTTTCTTATATACACTGAAGTTGGTTTTTTGTTTGTTCTTCCCTGCAGGGAATAGAGTGAGAAGTATAGAAAAGATGTTAAACAACAGCTGTTTGAGTAAACCTTCCTTAGCCTAATTGGCTGAATATTAATTGGCTGAATATGACTAGTCTCACAACATGCAGAAGATGAGGTGTTAATAGACAAGCAGAACTCTGAAGGAATGTGTGAATATTTTGCATCTCTGGTTGGTAAACTTAATGGATCACAAAATACAGTTGATGGTCAACTGCTGTGTTCTGCACATGGCAGCTCCAGGTGTGACTATAGAAGGTTTGCATATTAGAGACCAAGTGTAGCAGAAAAACCTTAACTCCTCTTGCTATTGCTCCCAGGTTCCTGGGTTGAAGTATTGATGAATTAGTTGACAAACCTAATATTCTTAGAGACAAAACCCACAAAATATTCATAGACTTTAATAATGCTGTAGTGACTGTATCATTTCCCTAGCTTTGCCTCTGTTTTCATATCTGAGAAGACAAAGGGTCTAAAATAAAAAACTTGCCTAAGGTCCAAATTTAACCCGCATCTTTTAACACCAAGCATTATATTTTCTCAATGAACCCGAGAAATCGTAACTGTTAAAAATGCAAGACTGTGTTTGCTCTCTTACAGAAGGGTGAAGCTTCCATTATGATATTTCAGTACTCATCCTAAGAGTGAAAAAAAAGTTCTGCTGATGTCTGATGTGCAATCTCCCAAAAATTCTAGTTTCCAAGGGCTCCTGAAATATTTCAGGAGCTATAATTTCTGAACTATTTCAGGGAGGAATACAGAGTAGAGATCAAGAACACAGATTCTAAAGTCAGACTGGCCTAAAAGTAGCAACCAAATTTCTCTCTCAATGCTCTTATTTGTAAAATGGAGAAAATAATATGTCTCCCTAGTTAATGAACACTATTGGGTACACACCTTAGAGCTGAAAGGAAGTATTAGTAGTTTAGAAGTATGAGCTTTAGAGCCTTACTACTGGGATGAAATCCAGGCTCCTTTACTTGTTAGCTGTATAGTCTTGGGAAAGTCACTCAACCTCTCAGTGGCTCAGTTTTTTCATATGTAAAGTGAGAATATTAGTATCTACACAAACTGTTGGATGTAAAAAGGGAGAACTTAATACATACAAAACTCTTATAATAGTCCCCTGTACATAGGTACTCAAGGAAGAGTGGCTGTTACTGTTACCATTTATACTTAGAATTGCTGTGTAATTTATCATCCACATTGAAACACTTTTGGGATTTGAAAGGGAACACTATTAAGAATTATACAGGAACATGCTATTTAAGAAATAACTTACATAACCCTTAGGAACTCTTACTTCAGGCTTTAAAAGGTAAGGAGCAAATAATTTTAGGAGATTGATAACAATGTCACCTAAATTTGAGATACTAAAAAGAGATTAGCGTTCTCAACTATGTGAAATGTATTTCTCCTACCATATCAAATATAATCCTAGGAATCTTGCTTCTCTCCTTCTAAAACACTTTCAAGAAAAAAGGAGTAAAGCTCAGAATCATACTACAGCTTGCATTTGTGGTGTCTTTTTCTATGTGCAAGGCCCAAGACGGACTGCCCCGGCTTCCTCGGGTGGGTCCCCAGAGGAGGAGTGGGAGAACGCAAAGAGAAGACAGGGTGTGGACGCAGACTCCAGAAGAAGCTTTCTCTGAGCCGCATTAGACTCCGTAATCACTTTAAAGATAAAGAGGTCGGCGGGGGATGTGGGTCTTGTACATTAGGAGCAAACGGGCAGAATTAATTTGATAGTGCATGTGGAGGTTCGCTTTACCCTCTCCTGTATTTTGTCAGTATCAAAAGTTATATCAAATTAACCATGTGGTAATTAGGTAGTACTATTCCCCCAAACCATTAAAAAAAAAAAAATACACACAACTACAGTAAAAAGAGGGAAAACAGGTTAGCACAAGTAGCAGATAACTCTTTTGTGAGATGATAATGAAAATGATGGACATGAATTTTGATTTTAGTTTATAGATATTTTTGAACAAACTGGAAAGTTATGCTCAATTGTGCGAAGTCCTAGGGGAGTGGTACCTCTCCAGAGGTGTGCCCAGTTCTTTCCTTAACATGGCGTGATCTTAGCGGTCTAAGTTAAGTGTTGGGTTTTGTGAGTGGGTCCAGCACGCACTAGTTTCTCACCTGTGGGTCTTTGCCGTACTGAGGCCTTTGCATTGGGTGTCCTGTAGCCCACCTGCCCTCATTTCACTTTTCTTTTTCTTCTACTTTAGAAGATTAAAGTTGCCATTTACTTATGAATCTTGCTCACGGTTTGCCTTCACTGTGAAATCTTATTTATCAAAAGGTGAAATTAGACATGTCCCAATTAATCTTCGACTTTACTGCTGTTGTAACATTTTTCATGACTGATTTGATTTGAATGCTTGCTTACAAGTTTATCTTCTGTATTCATATTTGAAATTCTTTGGAAAAGGGGTCGAGTCATCAGTGTTGAATGAATTGGAGTCCTAGTACAGATCCCTCAGAACTTGCCCCAAAGAGAACAAAGCCTCTGGGTGAGCTTCAGGATTAAGTTTGAAAATTTGGAGCTGGATCCTGTGGTAGGTCCATCCATATTTTCTCGGGTCAATAGCAGATCATAATGTTATGGGTGGGAGATGCCTAGAACTTGGCTTGCACATCTTAGATTAGCACTTACATGAGGTTACATAAAATTCTTTGGTTTCTTGTTTGGTATTTCCTTTGGTCCTCTTAAATAGTATTTTTTCATAGTATTGACTGAAGACCATTTGCATTAGAATTGTTTGGGTAGGTTTTTACAGTTGTAAATTTCTCTACCTAATCCCAGAAGAGAGGAATCAGAATAATCAGTGATGAGTCTTGGGATTCTGCATTTTGACAAGACCCTTGTTTAATTCTTAAACTAAATAATATTTGAGAACCAATGCTCTAGTGAATTATAGCGTGGTAACTTCCTTACACTTAAATACACTGAGTGACATCAATATAATAATACTGGCTAAGTTTTATTGATTATATTTTAGGTACTTAGTGGTAAGATCTATGACTACACTGTAATTTCACAGGTATATTATGAGAATTATGAGTTAATGTACATGCCTGAAAGACACTACGCAACTGTGAAGTATAATTATCCCTTTATTTCCATGTGCTCACAGAATGATTTGATAGCAGAATTGGAAACTGAATCCAGGAAACTCATTTTTCTTCCACCAGTGCTTGCTAAAGTGACTTGCAGGAATAAAGAGGAAATTTGTTATTTAATACCCAGCTCCCAGCCAGGTGCAATGGCTCATGCCTGTAATTCTAGCACTTTGGAATGCCAAGGTGGGCAGATTGCTTGAGGTCAGGAGTTCAAGACCAGCTTGGCTAACGTGGTGAAGCCCCATCTCTACTAAAAATACAAAAATTAGCCGGGTGTGGTGGGGTACGCTTGTAATCCCAGATGCCTGG